CTACGTCAGTGAAACGGTGATGAGAGACAACACTAATCCTACAGACTGTGGTACAGGTTGAACACTTACTCACAGTGCTCTCTTCCAGGGGAAACCATGGAGTCCTAGAAATGTGCAGTTTGAGACGGTATCAGCCAAGGACGGGGGGCATGGCAACTGGTGTGTGTGTGTGATTAGGCTAGCTAGATTTGACAAGTGATACAGCAACTCTCAGGGTTTTCACATCAGCACCATACTCTTGCATGGCGTTTCATTACAAAATACAAAACACTACACTTCTGTAGTAAAATAGAGATGAGGAAGGAACACTCCTGTATCTACAGTCCAGGATACTTCGCTTAATCCTAGGTTCTGAGAACAACAGCTGACTGGCAACACTTAGCAATGCCCATAAGCAGTCAAGTCACTTTTCCAAAATGGACACTAGGAAGCGCCCCTTGAAGTATACGTTTACCTATATAAACGATTGGATCAACTATTCCCAAACTTGATTGAGATTTCTTGTAAAACGTAGGGGGCAACGTCGCTCAACACGGCCATTGCCATGACAAAAGTTTGTCAAGTTCTAATTTTGTCATATGCTATGGATAATCACACCACAGTTTCAGATGGATGTTGGACTAGTATTTTAGAAACACACTTCTATATCAAACTCCTCAGACAGTCTGAGAGGATATCTGGGGGGACAGTTCAAATCCACAACCCAATGGTCTCTGACGAGGCGGGAAGGAGATTTGGAGCGCTTCCAAAAAGACGGATTACAAACCCGAGCTGCACTGTTCCGGGAAAAACTGGAGAACATGGAAACCCGCCCCGGGGAATGGGCAGACAGGAGAGCATCTACCCCACCTAAAAGCTTCTTACTACATTTCCCTTTACACACTACTCAGAAGTGGCAAGGGAGGAACATATTTCATTCCGACAAATTCATATATTTTCAATCAGCTAACAATGGGCGGCGTTTTACAATTTTGCACAAACCCCCCCCCCCCCCCACCAACAAACGCCTAACCATAGAAACAAACTCAACTGAAATGTGAAAAACTTCATGTTCTTCTAGCATGCTATATAAAAAGCAGTATCACTCGCCGTTCCAAAAATACCCGATCGAATAATTATCTTGCACCTCTATATAAACACATGTACAACTAACTACACAATGATAACCCAAAAACAGAAAAGAAACGGAGGAATCTCATGACTTAAAAACCTCCCATGTTACAGCGGCGTTGGCACTGGATGCCGACATATTAAACATGTTCAATAAAAAAAATGGCTAACGACAGAGAGGATGACAACTCAGTCCTGTTTTAATGCACTCGCCCCCTTTTGCCACAAACATGTAAAAAAAAAGTGCTACCAACAGTTGGTGTGGAGGGGAGAGTATGTTGCAGACGAGGCTTGGGCTTTCTTAGCCTACAGGGCTCTTCTTCCAAAGACTCAATGCCTGCTGAACTCTCTCATCCTTTAGTTTATTTGTTCACGGTCTGAAGTCTGTGTTTTATTCACCGGTGCTGTGACAGAGAGGGTGGGGTGGGGAGTATTCCTACGACACGCTGGAGCAGCGAATGCTAGGGGAACCCATTTGCATGAGCACCTTGTCCAGCCACTGCAGGGGGCCGTTGAGGTGCAGCTCGATCCAACAGGGGGTGCTGGTCACCGTCTGTCGCCTGGGTCGAGGGACCGAACAGGAGGAGACATAAAGAAACAAGAGGTTAGTTCACTGCAGTACACAATCAACTAGGATCTTTATTCTACCTGTATATCACAGACAATGACATCCATTTTCTTGTAGGTTTTCAACACAGTTTGTGAGTTTTTTTTAACAAGACTATCCTTTGACAACACCTTGTTTTGAGTTCCTTACCGCTCTATCACCATAGTGTTGTCCATGGCAACTATTAACAACATAGTCATATTATACTACTGTAAATCACACAACTCAAAGATGATCCTTTTCAGTGGGAGGAGGTCATTAGGTAATAGCCTGGTCGAGATGTCTTTGTGCTGTTTCGCCAACTCCTTAGATCTGGAACCAGGCTAGAGCAGACTGGGCAGTAATACTACAGTGATCTGGAACCAGGCTAGAGCAGACTGGGCAGTAATACTACAGTGATCTGGAACCAGGCTAGAGCAGACTGGGCAGTAATACTACAGTGATCTGGAACCAGGCTAGAGCAGACTGGGCAGTAATACTACAGTGATCTGGAACCAGGCTAGAGCAGACTGGGCAGTAATACTACAGTGATAGAAGTCAGTAGTGGGCTGTGTCTGAAGAGACAAGGAGACACGACGTCCCACCCTGGGACAGCAACCAGCGGCACACTCCTCCCCCCATCCTCCACCTACCCTGCCCTCCCTCCCTTACCCTCGATACTACACTCCCGTCCTCGCTACTACCTCCTCCTCTACCTCCCTCCATCACCCTCTCTACCTCTCTCTACCCTCCCTCTCTCTCTCTTGCATTCCATCCCCCTTACACAACTCCCTCTGTCTCAGTCCTGTGTGCACTGGGCTGAGCTGGTCTTTTTTTTAAATAGTGGAAACACATGAACACTTTATCAATGGCTGCTAATGGAAAACGTCTGTACAACTGTACCTACGGCATGTGCTTGAATTGTTAATTAAAACTAAATATTTGAGTGAGAAATTGCACAGGGGAAATAATAAGCATAGCTGGACACCACACTACTGTAACCTAACCCTGCCCCTAAGGGTTGGACACCACACTACTGTCCCCTAAGGGTTGGACACCACACTACTGTCCCCTAAGGGTTGGACACCACACTACTGTCCCCTAAGGGTTGGACACCACACTACTGTCCCCTAAGGGTTGGACACCACACTACTGTAACCTAACCCTGCCCCTAAGGGTTGGACACCACACTACTGTCCCCTAAGGGTTGGACACCACACTACTGTCCCCTAAGGGTTGGACACCACACTACAGTAACCTAACCCTGCCCCTAAGGGTTGGACACCACACTACTGTCCCCTAAGGGTTGGACACCACACTACTGTCCCCTAAGGGTTGGACACCACACTACTGTCCCCTAAAGGTTGGACACCACACTACTGTAACCTAACCCTGTCCCTAAGGGTTGGACACCACACTACTGTCCCCTAAGGGTTGGACACCACACTACTGTCCCCTAAGGATTGGACACCACACTACTGTCCCTAAGGGTTGGACACCACACTACTGTAACCTAAGGGTTGGACACCACACTACTGTCCCCTAAGGATTGGACACCACACTACTGTCCCTAAGGGTTGGACACCACACTACTGTCCCCTAAGGGTTGGACACCACACTACTGTCCCCTAAGGGTTGGACACCACACTACTGTAACCTAACCCTGTCCCTAAGGGTTGGACACCACACTACTGTCCCCTAAGGGTTGGACACCACACTACTGTCCCTAAGGGTTGGACACCACACTACTGTAACCTAACCCTGTCCCTAAGGGTTGGACACCACACTACTGTCCCCTAAGGGTTGGACACCACACTACTGTCCCCTAAGGGTTGGACACCACACTACTGTCCCCTAAGGGTTGGACACCACACTACTGTCCCCTAAGGGTTGGACACCACACTACTGTCCCCTAAGGGTTGGACACCACACTACTGTAACCTAACCTTGAACCTAAGTGTCTTCACATGCTGAGTTGTGTCTGGACCGGAGTCTCTGGCTCTGCTCTCTCTCCTCCTGTGTGTGTGTGTGTGTGTGTGTGTGTGTGTGTGTGTGTGTTGTGTTGTGTGTGTGTGTGTGTGTGTGTGTGGTGCGCGCTGGGGATCTTCCCGGTGGAAAGCTACCACTGGCTCCCAGTACAGAAGCCCCTGGAGGCTCTCCCCTCTCTTCTCCAACCAGATGAGTCAGACTACAGCATGGAAAAGAGGAGGACAGGAGGGGGGAAAGAGGAGGACCGAGGGGGGATTAGAGCAGACAGGAGGGGGAAAAAAGGATGAGGCAGAAAAGAGGACAGAGGGGGGAAAGAGGAGGACAGGAGGGGGGGAAAAGAGGAGGACAGGAGGGGGGAAAAGAGGAGGACAGGAGGGGGGAAAAGAGGAGGACAGGAGGGGGGGAAAAGAGGAGGACAGGAGGGGGGAAAAGAGGAGGACAGGAGGGGGGAAAAGAGGAGGACAGGAGGGGGGAAAAGAGGAGGACAGGAGGGGGGGAAAAGAGGAGGACAGGAGGGGGGGAAAAGAGGAGGACAGGAGGGGGGGAAAAGAGGAGGACAGGAGGGGGGAAAAGAGGAGGACAGGAGGGGGGAAAAGAGGGGACAGGAGGTGGGAAAGAGAGCTAGGGACAGTCTTTGCTAAACATGTGGTTTGTGAAAACAGAGGGGCGCCACGCCTGTTTCTATGGGGAAGAGAGGAGGACACCAGCCTCGTTCCATCCCCATCTCACCAGCTTACATTCTGTTTCACTACACAGATACAGTCTGGCCACGACCAGATTCAAACCCACCAATCAGCATCCTCTGATAATCTGTGGGGGTGGTTTAGTTGATCAGGACAATGAGAAGCGTCTGTAGTGGAAAATCATAACAACAATGGCTGATCTTGAGGTTAGTGTTGCTATAGCAGCAGTTGTATCAGAACAGGAGGGCAGAACTTAATTGAAAGAACAGCAAATAACTGCATTGAAGGATTTTCTCAGTCTTCTCCCTACTGGGTTCGCAAAGCGCTTGATTTACCAGCTAGCTCAGTTTGAATCTGGTCGTATCCAGAATGTAAGCTTGCGAGATCAGGATGGTTCGTACGAGGCTAGCGAGATACAGGGTCATGGCCTAGTCAGACACTGGAGACAATGTGGAGAGGCTGGGGGGGGGGAGGGGGGTTGAGCATCGTTACTTAACTCTGCACCCCTCAGCCATCCCACATAGTTGGTCTATTCCTGAATCAACTAGTCAGCTAATCAGGTGGGAGCATGGTATCGACTACTGACAGGGGTGACTCCGTTTAATACATGAAACCTTCATTGTATGAGAGCTGTGGACTATGGTTACCTGTACTCTGCTCCCCAGCCCTTGACGAAGCTCATGCGGATGGTGCACATCCTGGTGAGCTGGTAGACCGCCTCGAAGCCCTGGTTCACCGACTGGGCCAGCAGGGCAGCAAACTCCTGGTTGTTGAAGATCTTCAGGTTGCAGCCTACGGAACCGTCACACAACTGTCAGACAACCATCCGACAACCGTTACAGTCAGACAATGAATGAGGTGTGTGTCCAACGTGTGCTGGTGAGTAACGACAGAGTGCGAGTCATTGTGGAAATTAAACTCCTGTGTGTCAACTTTTTGTCTCTCAAACACACACTCTCAGCTCTCACCTGGTGGGATCTTGCAGACAGTGGCGGGGTGCCAGCCGTAGCGCTGGTTACAGTTGGGGCTCTGGACGAAGATGGCACTGTCGCTGAGGCACTCTGCAAACACCTCTCCTCCAATGTAGTACAAACGCACCCCTCTGCCTGCAGACACATACAGACAGAACCCTTAATCTAGGACTACAGCCACTGGGGAGTCCACCCCTGGTGTACACACAGACGTCCATTCCCTGAGCTAACCCCTACTACCCCTGACTACCCCTGAGCTAACCCCTACTACCCCTGAACTAACCCCTACTACCCCTGACCTAACCCCTACTATCCCTGAGCTAATCCTACTACCCTAGCTAATCCTACCACCCTGACCGCCCATACCCCCTGACTAACCCCTACCACCCTGACCTACCTCTGACCTAACCCTAACCCTACCTACCACCCCCCTACTACCTACCCCCGACCTACCACCCCTGACCTAACCCCTACTACCCCTGACCTAACCCCTACTACCCCTGACCTAACCCCTACTACCCCTGACCTAACCCCTACTACCCCTGACCTAACCCCTACTACCCCTGACCTAACCCCTACTACCCCTGACCTAACCCCTACTACCACCTACTACCCCTGACCTAACCCCTACTACCCCGACCTATCCTACTACCCCTGACCTAACCCTACTACCCCTACCTAACCCCTACTAACCCCTGACCTAACCCCATACCACCCTGACCTAACCCCTACTACCCCTGACCTAACCCACTACCCCTGACCTAACCCTACTCCCCCTAACCCCTGACCTAACCTACTACCCCCTGACCTAACCCCTACTACCCCTGACCTAACTCCTACTACCCCTGACCTAACCCCTACTACCCCTGACCTAACCCCTACCTACCCCTGACCTAACCCCTACTACCCCTGACCTAACCCTACTACCCCTGACCTAACCCCTACACCCTGACTAACCCTACTACCCCTGACCTAAACCCTACCACCCCTGACCTAACCCCTACTACCCCTGACCTAACCCCTACACCCACCCCTACACCCGACCTAACCCTACTAACCCCTGACCTAAGACCCTACTACTAACCACGACCTAACCCCTACACCCCTGACCTAACCCCTACTAAACCCCTATAGACCTATACCCTGACCTACCCCTACTCCCCCCTGACCTAACCCCTACTACCCCTGGACCTAACCCCTACTTACCCTGACCTACCCACACCTGACCCCTACCAATACCCCTGACTACCCCTGACCTACCCACCCCTGACCTACCCCTACCCCTGACCTAACCCCTACTACCCCTGACCTAACCCCTACTACCCCTTGACCTAACCCCTACCACCCCTGACCTAAGGTATTGGTAGCAGCTAATACAACTGCTCTCTCTTTCTCTTTACTTTGGTGTGAATGACCTTGTAACCACAATCCTGTTTCATGCGGCTACCATGTGTGGGCAGTACATGTGGTTCAGGTAGTAAGTAGGGGTAGTCCTAAAGTTGACCAGTTATCCCATCTAACAAAGCTATTCCATTTCACTTTCCCCTCATGTCAATGACCTAGCATCGGCCACGTGTCAGTTTGTCAGCGGTTTATTTGTCAGTACCAATGTGTCTGCGCGTCAGCTCCACAGCGGCGTTACGGTTGACGTTGGAGAGGAGGCCCAGGCAGAAGCGCTCTGAGTTGGAGGGGTCAGTGAAACCGTCCACGGTGAGGGACGGCTGGGAGGCGTGGAAGGTCTCGCCCACCCGCTGGTTCAGCTCATAGTAGGAGATAGAACACCAGAAGGCCGGCTCACAGTACATCACAGGCTGTAGGTCTGAGAGACAGAGGGGGATGGGGAACACTTTATTTAGATAGTCCCAAGTAGATGCTTTGTACACCACAGGTCAAACGTTTTAGAACACCTACTCATTCAAGGGTTTTTCTTTATTTTTACATTGTAGAATAATAGTGAAGACATCAAAACTATGAAATAACACATATGGAATCATGCAGTAACCAATTTTTTTTTTAAACAAATGAAAATATATTTTATATTTGAGATTCTTCAAATAGCCACCCTTGATGACAGCTTTGCACACTCTTCGCATCCTCTCAACCAGCTTCATGAGGTAGTCACCTGGAATGCATTTCAATAACAGGTGTGCCTTCATAAAAGTTAATTTGTGGAATTTCTTTCCTTCTTAATGAGTTTGAGCCAATCAGGTAGGGGGGGTATACAGAAGATAGCCCTATTTGGTAAAAGACCAAGTCCATATTATGGCAAGAACAGCTCAAATAAGCAAAGAGAAACGACAGTCCAACATTGCTTTAAGACAAATGTCAGTCAATCTGGAACATTTCAAGAACTTTGAAAGTTTCTTCCAGTGCACTCGCCAAAACCATCAAGCGCTATGATGAAACTTGCTCTCATGAGGACCGCCATAGGAATGGAAGATCCAGGGTGCCCTCTGCTGCAGAGGATAAGTTCATTAGAGTTACCAGCCTCAGAAATTGCAGCCCAAATAAATGCTTCACAGAATTCAAGTAACAGACACATCAACATCAACTGTTCAGAGGAGACTGCGTGAATCAGGCCTTCATGGCCGAATTGCTGCAAAGAAACCACTACTAAAGGACACCAATAAGAAGAAGAGACTTGCTTGGGCCAAGAAACACGAGCAACGGACATTAGACCAGTGGAAATTTGTGCTTTGGTCTGGAGTCCAACTTGGATATTTTTTGTTCCAACCGCTGTGTCTTTGTGAGACGTGGTGTGGGTGAACGGATGATCTCTGCATGTGTAGTTCCCACCGTAAAGCATGGAGGAGGAGGTTTTATGGTGTGGGGGTGCTTTGCTGGTAACACTGTCTGTGACTTATTTAGAAGTCAAGGCACACTTAACCAGCATGGCTACCACAGCATTCTGCAGCGATACGCCATCCCATCTGGTTTGGGCTTAGTGGGACTATCATTTGTTTTTCAACAGGACAATGACCCAACACACCTCCAGGCTGTGTAAGGGCTATTTTACCAAGAAGGAGAGTGATGAGTGCTGCATCAGATGACTTGGCCTCCACAATCACCCGACCTCAACCAAATTGAGATGGTTTGGGATGAGTCGGAAGACAGAGTGAAGGAAAAGCAGCCAACAAGTGCTCAGCAAATGTGGGAACTCCTTCAAGACTGTTGGAAAAGCATTCCAGGTGAAGCTGGTTGAGAGAATGCCAAGAGTGTGCAAAGCTGTCATCAAGGCAAAGGGTGGCTATTTGAAGAATCTCAAATATAAAATAAAACTTTTTTGGTTACTACTATTTCATAGTTTTGATGTCTTAAACTATTGTAGAATATAGTAAAAATAAAGAAAAAACCTTGAATGAGTAGGTGTTCTAAAACTTTTGACCGGTAGTGTAGATGTTCAATAGATGTTGAATTACCGTCAACAACATAACTAACTAACCCTAACCTTTACCCCTACCCTTACAAAGATCATCTATATGGGACTATCCAAATAAAGTGTGAACGAGAGACTTGTTGTACTGTATTGCTTTGGCAACTTTGGATTGCTTCTTTCATGTAAACAATCAATTGTATTGAACAGAGTAAAAGACAGAACAGGAGTGGACGAGGAGGGAGGGAGGGAGGAGGAGATAGAGGTGGGGAAGGAGGGAGGGAGGGAGGAGGAGAGGAGAGAGAGGTGGGTAAGGACAGGAGGGAGGGAGGGAAGGAAGAGGAGATAGAGGTGGGGAAGGACAGGAGGGAGGGAGGGAGACTGAAGAGAGAGATAAGCGCAGAGCCAGGGGAGTAGAGGACATAAAGATGGAGGGAGACTGAAGAGAGAGATAACAGCAGAGCCAGGGGAGTAGAGGACATAAAGATGGAGGGAGACTGAAGAGAGAGATAACAGCAGAGCCAGGGGAGTAGGAGGACATAAAGATGGAGGGAGACTGAAGAGAGAGATAACAGCAGAGCCAGGGGAGTAGAGGACATAAAGATGGAGGGAGACTGAAGAGAGAGATAACAGCAGAGCCAGGGGAGTAGAGGACATAAAGATGGAGGGAGACTGAAGAGAGAGATAACAGCAGAGCCAGGGGAGTAGAGGACATAAAGATGGAGGGAGACTGAAGAGAGAGATAAGCGCAGAGTCAGCTCCCAGAAGCACAAAGCAGAAATGTGGAGACAGTGGAGCCTATGGCAAATTACAGGGTTCCGTAACCAAAACATTCTGGAAACGCTTGCACAGTTCTCGTAACAGCAAGGGTTTTTTTTTTTTTACTTTTCCATTCTAACTACTTCAACATTTGCCTTTGAAGAGCAGTGAACTGTCTTGGCCTATGTGAAGGCACAGTCTATTTGAAGTACAGTGTACTGACTGGGCCTATGTGAAGGCACAGTCTATTTGTTTTTTCTACAGTAGCTTGGGCCCGAAACCCCACAGTGATTTTCCACACTGATATAATAACCAACAGGATATTATTATTGATGTTAGTGTGGGTTGACTGTGTTGGCCAGCTCTGGGCTCAGATGGGACCGAGACAAAGGCCTTTCATGAGCAGACCAGGCTTCCTCTGTTACAATACGGAGCGGTGGACTGGCTTCCCGAGGGAGGGCTGAGGTGCAACGCTTGTCCGCTAGTTAGCGCAGACACACACAATCTCATTGTCTCACACACCACTTTGTGTCTCAATCTCACAAATAAACATCCACAAACATACGGCCAGATAGCAAAAAATGTTTGCGTTAGCGGTACCTGCGGCGAAAAATAAATACCAATAATTGATCATGCCTTCTCGTCTCTCTGCAGCAGACATATGGTGAGCAATATGTTTGGAACATCAAATTGCAATAAAACCGCAGTATCAAATCGCAATCCATATAGAATCGGCACCTAACTACGGTGATAATATTGTATTGTGAGGTCCCTGGACATTCCCAGCCCTAACACTTACCTAAATTGCTGTGTGTTGGAGAGACTGGGTTTGGTGACAGGTTGGGTGAGCTGGTGTCCATGCTGTGGTTCATCAGGTGATCACTGGTCTCCCCATCTTCACTGAGATAGCCTGGCGGAGGAGTCTCTGAAACACACACACACACACACACACACACACACACACACGATTAGTAAACCACACTAAACAGAGTAAACAACCATTATGGTTGGTAGGTTCTTCTAATAACATGGACCAACATGGCTCCACATCTGCATATTAACAACACCCTCTATCATTAAACTCTCAGCCAATGCTTTTATTCAGGGAAGGGAAGTGGAAACCAGTAGAAAACACAGGTGGAATGTATTGACTGAGTTAGTTCTACTCCTGACGGGCGGAATGTATTGACTGAGTTAGTTCTACTCCTGACAGGTGGAATGTATTGACTGAGTTAGTTCTACTCCTGCCAGGTGGAATGTACTGACTGAGTTAGTTCTACTCCTGAGTTAGTTCTACTCCTGACAGGCAGAATGTATTGACTGAGTTAGTTCTACTCCTGACAGGCAGAATGTATTGACTGAGTTAGTTCTACTCCTGCCAGGTGGAATGTATTGACTGAGTTAGTTCTACTCCTGAGTTAGTTCTACTCCTGACAGGCAGAATGTATTGACTGAGTTAGTCAATACATTCTGCCTGTCAGGAGTAGAACTAACTCAGTCAATACATTCTGCCTGTCAGGAGTAGAACTAACTCAGTCAATACATTCCGCCCGTCAGGAGTAGAACTAACTCAGTCAATACATTCTGCCTGTCAGGAGTAGAACTGAGTTAGTTCTACTCCTGACGGGCGGAATGTATTGACTGAGTTAGTTCTACTCCTGACAGGTGGAATGTATTGACTGAGTTAGTTCTACTCCTGAGTTAGTTCTACTCCTGACAGGTGGAATGTATTGACTGAGTTAGTTCTACTCCTGCCAGGTGGAATGTATTGACTGAGTTAGTTCTACTCCTGAGGTAGTTCTACTCCTGCCAGGTGGAATGTATTGACTGAGTTAGTTCTACTCCTGAGTTAGTTCTACTCCTGACAGGTGGAATGTATTGACTGAGTTAGTTCTACTCCTGCCAGGTGGAATGTATTGACTGAGTTAGTTCTACTCCTGAGAGCCTGTAACAGGGGGGTCAATTTGTCCTCCAGAGGTAGTAACGGACCATGTGCTGGTCTGGTCTCCATGAGGCAGTGTCTGCTTCTGGTGGTCTGGCATCTCAAGGCACCACAGACATCGTTTGTGCCAAGCAGAGGCTGCCCACCTCCTCTGGACTCAGTGTGTGTGTGTGTGTGTGTGTGTGTGTGTGTGTGTGTGTGTGTGTTTGGCAACTGTTCATCCGGTCTGCTGATGTGGCTCACACCTCTGCTAGTGTCTGTCTGAAGGTAGGGTAGGGGCTAGAGGGGATGGGGGGGCTAGAGGGGATGTGGGGCTAGAGGGGATGGGGGGCTAGAGGGGATGGGGGGCTAGAGGGGATGGGGGGCTAGAGGGGATGGGGGCTAGAGGGGATGGGGGGCTAGAGGGGATGGGGGGCTAGAGGGGATGGGGGGCTAGAGGGGATGGGGGGCTAGAGGGGATGGGGGCTAGAGGGGATGGGGGATAGAGGGGATGGGGGGGCTAGAGGGGATGGGGGGCTAGAGGGGATGGGGGGCTAGAGGGGATGGGGGCTAGAGGGGATGGGGGGCTAGAGGGGATGGGGGGGCTAGAGGGGATGGGGGGGCTAGAGGGATGGGGGGCTAGAGGGGATGGGGGGCTAGAGGGGATGGGGGCTAGAGGGGATGGGGGGCTAAGGGGAGGGGGGCTAAGGCTAGAGGGGATGGGGGGCTAGAGGGGATGGTGGGGCTAGAGGGGATGGGGGCTAGAGGGGATGGGGGCTAGAGGGGGATGGGGGCTAGAGGGGATGGGGGGCTAACGGGCTAGAGGGGATGGGGGGCTAGAGGGGATGGGGGGCTATGAGGGGATGAGGGGCTAGAGGGGATGAGGGGCTAGAGGGGATGGGGGGCTAAAGGGCTAGAGGGGATGGGGGGGCTAGAGGGGATGTGGGGCTAGAGGGGATGGGGGCTAGAGGGGATGGGGGGCTAGAGGGGATGGGGGCTAGAGGGGATGGGGGGCTAGAGGGGATGGGGGGCTAGAGGGGATGGGGGGCTAGAGGGGATGGGGGGCTAGAGGGTGAGGGATGGGGGGGCTAGAGGGGATGGGGGGGCTAGAGGGGAATGGGGGGCTAGAGGGGATGGGGGGCTAGAGGGGATGGGGGCTAGAGGGGATGGGGGGCTAGAGGGGATGGGGGGGCTAGAGGGGATGGGGGCTTAGAGGGGATGGGGTGCTAGAGGGTGATGGGGGGCTAGAGGGGATGGGGGTCTAATAGAGGGGATGGGGGGGGCTAGAGGGGATGGGGGCGTATAGGGGATGGGGGCTAGGGGATGGGGGCTAGAGGGGATGGGGGCAGAGGGGATGGTGGGCTAGAGGGGATTGGGGGGCTAGAGGGGATGGGGGGCTAGAGGGGATGTGGGGATAGAGGGGGATGGGGGGGCTAGCGGGGATGGGGGGCTAGAGGGGATGGGGGGCGAGAGGGGGATGGGGGGGCCTAGAGGGGATGGGGGGCTAGAGGGGATGTGGGGGGGGCTAGAGGGGATAGAGGGGCTCGAGGGGTATAGAGTGGGAATAGAGGGGATGGGGGGGCTAGGCAGGGGATGGGGGGGCTAGAGGGGATGGGGGGGGGAGCTAGAGGGGATGGGGGAGGGGGAGGCTAGAGGGGATGGGGGGGCTAGAGGGGATAGAGGGGGCTAGAGGGGATGTGGGGCTAGAGGGGATGGGGGTGGGGCTAGAGGGGATGATAACTAGCCAGGAGAGGAACTAGCCAGGAGGAGAACTGAAGAAAAAGTGACTGAATAAAAACCATTGGCTGTCACAACTAGACTGTGTGAGAGCGGGCAGACAAGACACAATCCCAGACACTGAGCTGTGTGAAACAAGGTCAAGCATTGCAAACTCTTTGCCAGTCTCCGCCACTCACCTGTCTTGTCCGCTTGAATGGGATTTTAACTTGCTTTTAAGACGGTTCTCACCGACCTTACACTCATTTTAAACTTGTCTCACTTAAACCAGTCTCACCCACTTTAAGACTTCTATAACGTGCTTCATAAATCAAGACTGGTCTCACCTGCTCTAGGAATCTGTGTGAGGACTAGTCTCACCTCCTTTAGCACTGGTCTCAGCAGTAATAGGACTGATATCTCACTTGGTATGTAGACTTGTCTCACTGTTTATAGGACTGATATCTCACCTGGTATGTAGTTGCTCTGTGGCTCGATGCCGGCGGGGAAGTTGGTGTTCTCTGGGATGGAGTGGCTGTAGTCGTCCAGGGGAGGAAACTCACTGGGGATCTCTGTGTGTCTGGGAACCAGCACAGGGGGCAGCACTGCAGACATGCACACAATTAGACATTTATCACACACAGACAGAAACAGAAAGAACAGAAATGCACAGACACACGGTGCATTGTTTCTCTAACACACTGACAGATGTAGCTCAGTTGGTAGAGCATGGCGCTTGCAACGCCAGGGTTGTGGATTCGTTTCCCACGGGGGAGGCCAGTATGAATAATGTATGCACTCACTAACTGTAAGTGGCTCTGGATAAGAGCGTCTGCTAAATGACTACAATGTAAATATAGAAGTTATAGATAGCCTAAACATAAGAGCTAAGCCTCCCACATCTGTCAAACTAGTTGTCATAGAGCTAATACATTTAAAAAGATGTGCAATACATGCTACTGAAGCGAATCTCATTGAACCTCTCATGATCTTTAAAATGAGAAGGGACAGTTGTCCGTACCTGGCGTCTCCACCCTCTGGTAGTGGTAGGGGTTGACACACACCTCATCCTTCTTGGTGTGGAAGGCGTACTCGCAGAGCTCGATGGCCCGCAGCTCGTGGTGGGACTGCAGGTCGGGCCAGCGCCACAGACGGCAGTAGATGACATGGGGCAGGCCCTTCCTGTGGGACACCTGCAACCGCCCATCCAGAGACCTGGCAGAGAGAGAGGTTCCTTTGGTTGTTGTTGTTGTAACTGCTTTGGAGGCATAAGTTCATTAACATTTTTGTTGCCTTTTGGCACATTGCTTGAATAGTTTGCTATTCTTGAAATGGCCAACTCCAAATGGTAAATTCACAATCTCACTAATGCGAGAGTACAGAAGCTCACACCCCATAAAACCCCATATACTGAGATAAGCAAAAACATTTCACCTTGCAAGCAAAAAAATGTGCAGCCCCCCCCCTGCAATTCTACACATTTTACCATTGGTACGGAGAGAAGATTGTGCGATTTTATACACTACATGAAATGGGTTTCCATGGTCAAGCAGCCGCACACAAGCCTAAGATCACCATGCGATATGCCAAGCGTCGGCTGGAGTGGAAACGCGTTCTCTGGAGTGATGAGTCATGCTTCACCATCTTGCAGTCCGAAGGACGAATCTGGGTTTGGAGGGTGCCAGGAGAACGCTACCTGCCCCAATGCATAGTGCCAACTGTAAAGTTTGGTGGAGGAGGAATAATGGCCTGGGAATGTTTTCCATGGTTCGGGCTAGGCCCCAATGTTCCAGTGAAGGGAAATCTTAACAGTACAGCATACAATGACATTCTAGACGATTCTGTGCTTCCAACTTTGTGGAAGGGCCTTTCCTGTTTCAGCATGACAATGCCCCCGTACACAAAGTGAGGTCCATACAGAAACGGTTTGTCGAGATCGGTGTGGAAGAACTTGACTGGCCTACACAGAGCCCTGACCTCAACACCACCGAACACCTTTGGGATAAATTGGAACGCCGACTGCGAGCCAGATATAAATCTCCCAACATCAGTGCCCGACCTCACTAACGCTTGTGGCTGAAGTCCCCGCAGCGATGTTCCAACATCTAGTGGAAAGCCTTCCGAGAAGAGTGGGGCTGTTATAGTAGCAAAGGGGGGGGACTAACTCCACATTAAATGGCCATGATTTTTGACGAGCAGGTTTCCACATTACTTTTGCGTAATGCAGTATCTAAGATATATTAGATATTATATAGATATATATATATATCAACACACATATACATAAACATATATATATATATATACATACATACATAAATACATAATACATAATAATAAATAATACATCATATAGACTATAGATTACATACACATATACATAACCATATATATATTACAATACACAACACACACATAGACATGCACACACCACACAGTGAGGGAAAAAGTATTTGATCCCTGCCTGATTTTTGTACGTTTGCCCACTGACAAAATAAATTATCAGTCATATTACATTTTAATCGGTAGGTTATTTGAACAGTGAGAGGACAGAATAAACAACAACAAAAATCCAGAAAAACATGTCCAAAATGTTATAAATTGATTAGCAATTTTAATGATGGGACATAAGTATTAGACCCCCTCTCAATCAGAAAGATTTCTGGCTCCCAGGTGTCTTTTATACAGGTAACGAGCTGAGATTGGGAGTGCTCCTAATCTCAGCTTGTTACCTGTATAAAAGACACCTGTCCACAGAAGCAATCAATCAATCAGATTCCAAACTCTCCACCATGGCCAAGACCAAAGAGCTCTCCAAGGATGTCAGGGACAAGATTGTAGACCTACACAAGGCTGGAATGGGCTACAAGACCATCGCCAAGCAGCTTGGTGAGAAGGTGACAACAGTTGGTGCGATTATTCGCAAATGGAAGAAACACAAAATAACTGTCAATCTCCCTCGGCCTGGGGCTCCATGCAAGATCTCACCTCGTGGAGTTGCAATGCTCATGAGAACGGTGAGGAATCAGCCCAGAACTACACGGGAGGATCTTGTCAATGATCTCAAGGCAGCTGGGACCATAGTCACCAAGAAAACAATTGGTAACACACTACGCCGTGAAGAATTGAAATCCTGCAGCGCCCGCAAGGTCCCCCTGCTCAAGAAAGCACATATACAGGCCCGTCTGAAGTTTGCCAATGAACATCTGAATGATTCAGAGGAGAACTGGGTGAAAGTGTTGTTGTCAGATGAGACCAAAATCGAGCTCTTTGGCATCAACTCAACTCGCCGTGTTTGGAGGATGAGGAATGCTGCCTATGACCCCCAAGAACACCATCCCCACCGTCAAACATGGAGGTGGAAACATTATGCTTTGGGGGTGTTTTTCTACTAAGGGGACAGGACAACTTCACCGCATCAAAGGGACGATGGACGGAGCCATGTACCGTCAAATCTTGGATGAGAACCTCCTTCCCTCAGCCAGGGCATTGAAAATGGGTCGTGGATGGGTATTCCAGCATGACAGTGACCCAAAACACACGGCCAAGGCAACAAAGGAGTGGCTCAAGAAGAAGCACATTAAGGTCCTGGAGTGGCCTAGCCAGTCTCCAGACCTTAATCCCATAGAAAATGTGGAGGGAGCTGAAGGTTCGAATTGCCAAACGTCAGCCTCGAAACCTTAATGACTTGGAGAATGACTTGGTGACAAAATCCTTCCTGAGATGTGTGCAAACCTGGTGGCCAACTACAAGAAACGTCTGACCTCTGTGATTGCCAACAAGGGTTTTGCCACCAAGTACTAAGTCATGTTTTGCAGAGGGATCAAATACTTATTTCCCTCATTAAAATGCAAATCAATTCATAACATTTTTGACGTGTTTTTCTGGATTTTTTTGTTGTTATTCTGTCTCTCACTGTTCAAATAAACCTACCATTAAAATTATAGACTGATCATGTCTTTGTCAGTGGGCAAACGTACAAAATCAGCAGGGGATCAAATACTTTTTTCCCTCACTGTATATACACACAGTGGGGAGAACAAGTATTTGATGCACTGCCGATTTTGCAGGTTTTCCTACTTACAAAGCATGTAGAGGTCTGTAATTTTTTATCATAGCTACACTTTAACTGTGAGAGACGGAATTTAAAACAAAAATCCAGAAAATCGCATTGCATGATATTTAAGTAATTAATTTGCATTTTATTGCATGACATAAGTATTTGATACATCAGAAAAGCAGAACTTAATATCTGGTACAGAAACCTTTGTTTGCAATTACAGAGATCATACGTTTCCTGTAGGTCTTGACCAGGTTTGCACACACAGCAGCAGGGATTTTGGCCCACTCCTCCATACAGACCTTCTCCAGATCCTTCAGGTTTCGGGGCTGTCGCTGGGCAATACGGACTTTCAGCTCCCTCCAAAGATTTTCTATTGGGTTCAGGTCTGGAGACTGGCTAGGCCACTCCAGGACCTTGAGATGCTTCTTACGGAGCCACTCCTTAGTTGCCCTGGCTGTGTGTTTCGGGTCGTTGTCATGCTGGAAGACCCAGCCACGACCCATCTTCAATGCTCTTACTGAGGGAAGGAGGTTGTTGGCAAAGATCTTGCGATACATGGCCCCATCCATCCTCCCCCTCAATACGGTGCAGTCGTTCCTCCAAACACGGCGAGTGGAGTTTAGACCAAAAAGCTATATTTTTGTCTCATCAGACCACATTACCTTCTCCCATTCCTCCTCTGGATCATCCAGATAGTCATTGGCAAACTTCAGACGGGCCTGGACATGCGCTGGCTTGAGCAGGGGGACCTTGCGTGCGCTGCAGGATTTTAATCCATGACGGCGTAGTGTGTTACTAATGGTTTTCTTTGAGACTGTGGTCCCAGCTCTCTTCAGGTCATTGACCAGGTCGTGCCGTGTAGTTCTGGGCTGATCCCTCACCTTCCTCATGATCATTGATGCCCCACGAGGTGAGATCTTGCATGGAGCCCCAGACCGAGGGTGATTGACCATCATCTTGAACTTCTTCTATTTTCTAATAATTGGGCCAACAGTTGTTGCCTTCTCACCAAGCTGCTTGCCTATTGTCCTGTAGCCCATCCCAGCCTTGTGCAGGTCTACAATTTTATCCCTGACGTCCTTACACAGCTCTCTGGTCATGGCCATTGAGGAGAGGTTGGAGTCTGTTTGATTGAGTGTGTGGACAGGTGTCTTTTATACAGGTAACGAGTTCAAACAGGTGCAGTTAATACAGGTAATGAGTGGAGAACAGGAGGGCTTCTTAAAGAAAAACGAACAGGTCTGTGAGAGCCGGAATTCTTACTGGTTGGTAGGTGATCAAATACTTATGTCATGCAATAAAATGCAAATTAATTACTTAAAATATCATACAATGTGATTTTCTGGATTTTTGTTTTAGATTCCGTCTCTCACAGTTGAAGTGTACCTATGATAAAAATTACAGACCTCTACATGCTTTATAAGTAGGAAAACCTGCAAAATCGGCAGTGTATCAAATACTTGTTCTCCCCACTGTATAAAAATAAACACACACACACTACCAGTCAAAAGTTTGGACACCTACTCATTCAAGGGTTTTTCTTTATTTTTACTATTTTTTACACAATAGTGAAGAAACCAAAACTATGAAATAACACACATAAAAATAATGTAGTAACCAAAAAAGTGTTAAACAAATCAAAATATATTTTATATTTGAGATTCTTCAAATAGCCACCCTCTGCCTTGATGACAGCTTTGCACACTCTTGACATTCTCTCAACCAGCTTCATGAGGTAGTCACCTGGAATGCATTTCAATTAACAGGCGTGCCTTCTTAAAAGTTAATTTGTGGAATTTCTTTCCTTCTTAATGCGTTTGAGCCAATCAGTTGTGTTGTGACAAGGTAGGGGGGGGGGTATACAGAAGATATTTGGTAAAAGACAAAGTCCATATTACGGCAAGTACAGCTCAAATAAGCAAAGAGAAACGACAGTCCATCATTGCTTTAAGACATGAAGGTCAGTCAATACGGAACATTTCAAGAACTTTGAAAGTTTCTTCAATTGCAGTCGCAAAAACCATCAAGCGCTATGATGAAACTGGCTCTCATGAGGACCGCCACAGGAATGGAAGACCCAGCATTACCTCTGCTGCAGAGGATACATTCATTACACTAGGTGCTTCAGTAGTAAGAACATCTAAATCACTGTCAGAGGGGACTGTGTGAACAGGCTTTGGTTGAATTGTTGCAGAAACACTACTAAAGTCACATGAAGAAGAGTCCTGCTTGGGCCAAGAAACACGAGCAATGGACATTAGACCAAATGTGAGATTTTTGGTTCCAA